CGGGTGATGAAACGCCCCCCTGCCCAAAAAGTCACCAGGTATGCCTCGCTTGATTCCATGGGGTATCATTTTTTAGTTGTATTATAATATTTTCCTTTTATAATAAAACATGTGTCAAGAGGTGTTGAGACATATAATTGTGTGCGTACTTTAAAGCGAATACACGGAAGAAGCGAAGTGTTAAATGATTGCGTAAGATAAACCACCCGCACCATTTATTTCACAACTGTTCAGTTGACTCCTAAGCCAATAGCTTTCCGGGGTTGTGCCAGATTTTTTTCAGGCAGTTACAGAGACATTGTGAACGTAGATGATATAACAAAGACCGCAGATAAAAATGGGGTCAGAAAGTTGTACTGACTTTGCCAAACCCAGGGTTGTCTAGGAATGCTCAACCTTTGCTCAGAATGGAGTGGTGGAAGAACTACAAAATTTGCCTCTGACCATGCGCGCTCGTACGCTCACGCTTCGACTAAGCCTCCTAACAAAATCCCGATGCAAGGCGTTGCAGTTTCCGTAGACCGCGCGGCATCGGCCCTGTGGCTGACGTTGCGTGGCGGCTAGTAAGCGAACGAAAACGAAAACGTTTGGAAAACATTATCCTTGAACTTGCTTCAGGATGCCGCTTCATGCGTTTGGAAGGTGGCCCGTGGGTGTGCTCGTGTTGGCATTTTCAAATTTCGATCTCGTTTTGATCTGTTTCATTGTGCCCTGAGGAAACCCCTGAACATTCCCGGGCAAGGAACCAGTGGGTAGAACACTAGGGGCCCCCGGTCAGAGGCCCAAGTGTCATTCCGTTTCAGTGCGGGACGCCAGCCGGCTACTATGCTGGCGACACGGGAGCAGGGTCCGCAGGGCGGCACGAAAGCTCTCAGAGGGATCGGTCACACATTGGTCACCTATCTGACGCCGGAGCCCCCTGGCCCGGGCATTTGGCCCCGGGTAGACGCAAGGGCCCTGACTGATGTAAAAATATCCCTTTTCGCCACAGGTGTCACGTAATTGGCACAGAGACACCACTTCAGCATAACTGATCTCTGGCTGAAATAGGATGGACAGCTTCGCGTTCGGCGTTGGCTCCGTCGACTAACACCGGGCCTTCCATTGCCTTATTGTGGACTCATCGCAAACTCTCACATCACTTTTATTATCAGAGGGCCCAGACCAACGAAACAGGTCCTCTAGCCTTTGGGGGCCCCGTCACTGCCCACTGTTCAGCAAATCTCCCTGCCCCGATCAGGAGCTCCCTGGGGCCTTGAAAGAGTCTCTATGTCAGCTCACCGAGACCACCACATACCGAAAAGACGCTTCAGCGTCGGTCTGGGGCCCCGGGGTCCCTTTTTCCAAACAGGGGCAGGGCCACGATCTTGCCGTCAAATACGTGCAGTGCAGCGTGCCTTCACCCGACCTCGCCGTCCAGTGCAGTGAGCCTCACCTGACGTCGTCGTCAAATACAGCGTGTCTGGTCTGACCTCGTCGTTCAGTGCAGCGTGCCCCACTTGAACTCGTCCAGTGCAGCGTTGCCCTCACCTAACCTCGTCGTCCAATGCAGCGTGGCCTCACCTGAACTCGTCTCGTCCAGCACAGAGTGCCTCACCTGACCTCGTCAGCCAGTACAGCGTGCCTCATCTGAACTCGTCGTCCTGTACAGTGTGCCTCATCTGAACTCGTCGTCCTGTGTAGTGTGTCTCACCTGAACTCGTCGTCCTGTGTAGTGTGCCTCACCTGAACTCGCTGTCGCGGCCGCAGGGGATTTCTGCTGACGGCCCCGAAGGTGTTCATAGCCAACACCGCAGAACGCTTCTGTTTGACGTTCTTCAACCTGCGTGGCGAGGTCAGTGTGTCCGTTTACCTGCTGCCCAAGAAGAACAGCACCGTCGACAACAGTGTGGCGCAGCTCTCCCGCATCTTCGACGTCAACGGGCCCGGTGAGTTGTGTGCATCTGGTGCTGGGGAGACTAAGTATGGTCTGGTGACGGGGTCTGTCCGCGTCCTGTCGTGTGGTGCTGGGGAAGCTAGGTGTGGTCTGGTGACGTGGTCTGTCTGCGGTCTACCGTCTGGTGCTGGGGAGACTAGGTATGGTCTGGTGACGGGGTCTGTCTGCGGTCTACCGTCTGGTGCTGGGGAAGCTAGGTGTGGTCTGGTGACGGGGTCTGTCTGCGGTCTACCGTCTGGTGCTGGGGAGACTAGGCATGGTCTGGCGACGTGGTCTGTCCGCGGTCTACCGTCTGGTGCTGGGGAGACTAGGTATGGTCTGGTGACGGGGTCTGTCTGCGGTCTACCGTCTGGTGCTGGGGAGACTAGGTATGGTCTGGCGACGTGGTCTGTCCGCGGTCTACCGTCTGGTGCTGGGGAGACTAGGTATGGTCTGGCGACGTGGTCTGTCCGCGGTCTACCGTCTGGTGCTGGGGAGACTAGGTATGGTCTGGTGACGTGGTCTGTCCGCGGTCTACCGTCTGGTGCTGGGGAGACCAGGTATGGTGTGGTGACGGGGTCTATCTGCGGTCTACCATCTGGTGCTGGGGAGGCTAGGTATGGTCTGTTGACGTGGTCTACCTGCAGTCTACCGTCTGTTGCTGGGGAGACTAGGTATGGTCTGTTGACGTGGTCTACCTGCGGTCTACCGTCTGTTGCTGGGGAGACTAGGTATGGTCTGGTGACGTGGTCTATCTGCGGTCTACCATCTGGTGCTGGGGAGGCTAGGTATGGTCTGGTGACGTGGTCTGTCTGCGCCTTGCTGTGTGTTTCAGGTAGCACGACGCACGTCGTTGCGCACGTGTTATGGAGCGCCGCTGACAACAGTGCTCTCATGACACCCACCGGCATTGGAATCCGACGCTGTCGGGCACTTGTCTTTCCAGCATGTTCACCATAACCGAGCTCTTTCACGTTCTTCTGGTTTTGCGTTTTGCTAATCATGACTTGAGATGCTTTGCGTCGATCCTTGCTGAGAAAGCACCCTGTCGCCGCCTCGAGCTTACAAGCATTAGTGAATCAATGACCTTGAAGGTGGATACTTACCGAAAAAATATCCGAACCTGCAATCAGTTCATGAACGCTGCGCTGCATTGTGTCAGCATCACCCACGCCCCACATGTCCACATCGTGTGGGATGAGCACTTGCGGGACATCAACACAATCACCCTCCGTCATGAAGGGCGAACTCATCAGAGAATTCACCACGCTAGTGCAAGACGTGCAGAAGAGCACAGCTGAGGCTGACCGGGCGTTGACCATCTCCCAAACGAAGGCATAGCCTATCAATCGGGCCGCGAGCCTCTGGAATGAGCAGCTGCGAACCTCTGGAATGAGCAAGCCGCAAACCTCTGGAATGAGCAGCCGCGAACCTCTGGAATGAGCAAGCCGCAAACCTCTGGAACGAGCAGCCGCAAATCTCTGGAACGAGCAGCCGCAAACCTCTGGAACGAGCCGCCTCGAACCTCTGGAATGAGCAGCCGCGAACCTCTGGAATAAGCAGCCGTGAACCTCTGGAATGAGAAGCCGCGAACCTCTAGAGCGAGCGGCAGGACGCGCAGCAATCGATGATGTGAGATCAGCAATCTGACATAGGCGCGCGCCTTTTCGTTAAGTCAATGGCTCACCGCGCAGCCTGTTCTAGATGTCTCGGCGCAGGCTCGGCATAATGACGAGCCGGGGTGGGCTCACCAGATGCCCGTTGTCGAGAGTGGGGCAGTCACGCTGGTCGAGAACGGACGTAGCAGCTGGGCGAGACCGGATTTGTGTTGCGAGAATCCTCCCGGGCAGCGTCCTAGATAACAAGTGGCGTGCCCTGTAGCTGCAAGATTCCGCTCTCCCCATCTGAATGGCCTAAATGCTGTCCTTGGAATCAGACTGCGGCTTTTGATGCGCTGCATCCTGCTCAGCGCCCTGGTCGTCCGCCGTGGAGGCGTTGACAACCAAGTGGGAGAGAGCGTAAGTGCGACGCCCCCTCAGGCCGCCGCTAGCTTGCCATGACGCTTACCGGACAAGCAGCTGATCATGAAGCTGGCGGCTTGACGTCGGAGACTCAAGCATCAGTTGCAGTCGCGGTTTTTATGTTGGTCAGAGCGTTGCTGTTGAGCAGTGGCGGGATGAACAGGTGGTGATTAGTGCCGACCTTGAGGAAGTGGAGGACAGCAAGGAGGCATTTGGGTCCACTCAAGTGATGATCAGGATCTCCAGCTCAGTAGTCGAGTATTTGATTTGGCGTCAGACTGAGACCTCACAGGTTGGTGCAAGCTTTCCAATGTTTCCGAGTGAAATGGTGTTACCCTTGTCACTAGCCAACAATCAACAGTTTGAAATTTGTTGACGCGGTTCAGAGAAGTCGATTTGCCGGAGGCAGAACGCAGTGACTGGTCACTGCGTTCCAGACTCCAATGCTACATGTTCTCTCAATCTCTGGCAAATCAAGAACGCCGCGCCGAGTGTCGTGCTTTTTATTGCAAGCTGACTTTTAAAGTTAGGTTTTACGTGGCCAGCACTCAGTTTTAGTACTAGTATATTCCACAACCCGTTCTAAGCGGCTGTTTATTCGCTATTGTTAAATTACATATTTTGAAATAACAAAACAAACAGCACGAAGCAAAATGCGGTAATAAGACACACGATACCTGATGCGAAGTATTAGTATCACGGATGGAATAATTGAGCTGGCGCCAGAGTCTACCGTGCTGGTGTGCTCACAGCATCTCAGTTAATTCTCCTGACGTCATCAGGCGTAATTGAATCCCGTTAAGTACTGTATGGTGTCTGGCTGTCAACTGTGTACGCGTCACAACCAGATACTCTCTTTGGAATTCATAACACAGTTATCTCTCTTGGAATCTCAACAGTTCCAGGGAGCAAATTCTGGTTATGACGGAATTTGCTCCCTGCATCCAAATATGCGTGCCAAGGATCCAAAGGTGCAAACAGGCACTGTTTTGACAATATTTTCTTAGTTTGTTGGGTAGCACTGTCTTGCCAGTGTCCGCTTGTAAAAAAGGGCAAATAAGAAGAGTTCCAAACTCCTGATGCTCTATGCAAGATATTTGAATGTCGGAAGGTATTTTAGGCATCAAGTTCCACGGATTCGCTTGATCCGAGCTTGATTTGCTTCTGTCATGCGGTTTCCGTCTGTGAGGTGCATCGAACATCACGGCTTGTCGTGGGTCTGACCACGGTCTCCGTTCCTACCGGCTCTTTCCGGCAAAACGGTGCAGAGAAACACACAATCTTGGCTTAGAAGTCATCGTTCTTTTTGTTGACGATGTGACGTAATTGTTTTTACGTTTACCCTTTTTTGGAGCGAACGAGGCTCATTGTGTTTCAGATGACGACAATGTCTGCTTCGACTTTACCGTGCCGAAGAAAGTGCCGACATATGCGTTTCTACGCGCAACTGTTCGTTCTGGATTATTTTGGTCGACACAGCAGTTTAAGGTACGGGAAAATCTGAAAACGTTCGGGACTGTTTGCAACAAAACACGGCCCCGCATGTGAAAAAGATATATTTGAGCGCGTCTGAGTGTACATGTAAGTGAGCGTATCTCTTATTTGTTAATGGCTTATGGTCAGATTTATCTTAGCGTCCACACCTTGCATGCAGATATCACAGATCACACGTAGTACTGATGCGCGCTCCTCAAGTTTTGGGGTGCTGCGTCAGACACACAAAACCGTGCTAGGTGTAAAGAAGCTCATGGTTTATCCTGTCGGAAGGTAAACTTGGTCCACTGTGCATAGCGTCATTCGCTCGGCGCAACTGAGTGTAAAGGCCTATCTGGCAATTCATATGAATGACCAACTTATCTGAGTGTGGTAGCAAGTTTTGTCATTGACCACCGGCGACGTGATCGAGCTTGCCGAAATGCTGCACATCGTCTTCCACAGCTTCGTCTGCTGCCCTACACGCTGGTGACGCTGGTTCAGACCGACAAGTCCAAGTACAAGGCCGGCGATCTGGTGCAGTTCCGCGTGGTGACGCTCAAGAGTGATCTCACTGCCATGGAGGAGGTGGTGAGTATACCGAGAGCGATCCTCCGGGACACTGAATATGCGCTAACCCGGAAGATAGCCTCATAGTTCACATGGAGCTCCCGATCGCAGTTTATTCGAGGGATGTGTGGCGTGTTGGCAGCTTTCTTACCTTACTCCCCACGCGGCTGACGGAATGGGACGGTTCAGAGTTGTGTCAGATGACCTCGGTGACCTCGACAAGTTTGAGGTGACAATATGCCCGTGGGAGGGGAAAAAACGAAAACTCAGTAGCATGCCTTCTTCTTCTACGTGTCTTGGAAAAGTTACCGCATTAAAGGGTTATTTTGATGTGGATGTGGTGGGAAAATCACCCCCACTGCCCCTCCTCCCCATAGGTAAAGCTGTACAACTACACGACTGCGCGTACAGGTAAAGCCGCACGACTTTAGGATAATGTTTCACATCTGTCTCTCCCGACCGTTCAGGTGGACCAGATCTTCATCACAACACCAGGCGGTACAAGACTGGCGCAGTTCGACAAGGTCGCCACGCGGTCCGGCATCATTCAGAAGAAGTTCCAGCTGACAGAAGAGCCTCCCCTTGTGAGTGCCTATTTACACGACCCACAAACCGCGGTCATACAGAGAGAAAGGTAATCCTGAACCCACAAACCGCGGGCGTACACACGGAAAAGTAATCACGGCCTATAGACTACCACAGCTGGTGTCATAGGCACCAACGCCCGCGACGGCTTTAGCATGTAAGGTTAGAAATGGCAGTGAGTCGATTCGAGCTCACACATCCGTTCGCGTAACGAAAAATAGCGAGTTCCGTCGACGGTTCAAACCACTCGACACTTGCGTTTAATCAGCATAAGGGAGCCACACTGCCTTGAACGAATTCAAAATAACACCGGTTGAAAAACGTGACCCCAAATAAGCGCGTCACCTTTATTAACGAAATGACACAGGCAACGGTGGGTCGGCTCGTACCCTGCACTTTATCAACACTGACAGTCTTGTGACGGTCACGGCATGACATAAGGCCGTTGATAAGTCGTGAGGCAGGGTACCGTACACTCAGCTGCTTACCTGCCCACCGGCTTACCACCGGTGACCCAACTATCACATCTGACTCGCCAACATGTAAATTCCACATAGATACCGTCTCAATAGACACTTCCAGTTCTCTAAACACGGGCTGCGACCTGCATCATTAGGGGCAACAGCAGCGTTATCTCGAGCTTACCGCACCTGTCAAAGTAGCGCATCTTTTGTTAAAATTTTAGCACCATTCTCACACCTCGTCTGTTGGTGCCAAATGGGTGATCGTAGGGTTTCAGAATATTTCAATCAACACATCGAGTGGTCGCTGTTCACATTTTATCTCAGGGCGTTTGGTTTGTTTCCCCTCGAAATAGTCCCAGGCACTGCACTCGAATTCATCGAGCATTCAGGAGCCAACTAGCGTGGTAAATCTGCACCCTGGATGGTTGTTAAGGTTTTCACTGAATGGCTGCCAGTCTTGACACTTTTCAAAGCATTCCGCTAATTGTAATTAGCCATGTGCCGTCAGCAAACGCAAGGGTTTTTAAAAACTTCAACTAGCGTGACGTACTCTCCCAAACCAGTACCCAATGAAACCTACGCTGCTTTTTCCTTGCGATGGAAATTATCACGTCATTGTTGTTGCTAAATATCTTGCGTTCTATTTATGGTCCACTTCGCTGCAAGTGGGGAGCTCATGGTGCACCACAAATGTCGAATATTGGTATCTGTTTGTAGGCAAAGGTCAGTTTTACAGTCGATTAAACACTTCAAAGTTGGTCGGTTTATGCTCTTTCAGTTTACACAGAATGTGCGTTGCTTCATAGTTTTTTTTCCAAAAAAGAAGTTTTTTTACGCCTTCAGTGCTTCCGTAACGTATCATGCAAACGCTGCTATCAAAGAGAACGTTTCTCTTTTAAATATATTGAAGCAAGCATCAGATATGATAAAATTAGCTTACTCATAATTTTTGGTATAATCATGAATGAAAGACTGCTCTAGACGACTAAGCTTCTTTTTTCGTAAACATTCTACTCAATGCGTCACCGTTTGGTAATAATGAAATATTTGAATGACGTTAAGATGCTGTCAAACTAGTCGCGCGAAATTACGACCCTAGTACTCCTTTATAGTGCTTTAAACTAGCCGAGGCAATAGTATCAAGACAAAATATGTGGTCAAAATATGATATATGTAACCATAAAGCCAATAATAAATAGCCGAGTTTAAGCCGCTGAGTCAAATAACAGTATGCGTTCGTGATTTCGCTCTTTCCAAAGTGTTCTCACATATTTATCCATGAGTTTGAAAGGAATGCTCCACATTTGAACATATTAGAACAAGCATTACATATCATGAAATGAGCTAACTTATGTTTATATCTGGTGCTATGCCTTTAAGAGGAAAAGACTGTTCTAGGCAACACAATTTTCCTATCAAGTAGATATGTTTAATGATACGTCCTTCTTTCATTGCATCATAGAACATTCGTACAACAGCATCCACTCGTAGTTCTTCGATCTTCCGGGAGATGGCAGCATGAGCCGGCGGTCTTCGCTGAGCCAAATTTGTCATATGCTCGTATTCTGGGTCTTTCTCGTGGTGCTGTTGCACATTTGTCCATGAGTTTACGATGCTTACTCGTATTCATGTACTCGATTGTAGTACTTTTCTTAAGTTATTCGATTACAAGTCTTATTGCTGCAACAATTGTGAACACCGTATAACTTCTTGTATTATGTAGCACAAAACGTAACTCGTGTTCGACTCCTGCATAGCTTGCACGACATTAGTTGATGGCCAATTGGCACGGTGATGTCGGAAAATCTTACTCACGAACGCCAGACATGAACAACTGGATAATTTTTTTTCTGACCTTGCACGCTGCATCGCCAGTGTAACGACGGAATATGAATTACGTCTTTATGGACGTCATCTATGCCTGGCTAACCTTGGTATAAATTCCACCAAATAGTCTGCACATCTCCGCGGGCGGGGCACCTCAGAAGCTAAAGGATTTTAGGGTCTTAGAGAAGACATGGCACTGGCCTACGCCAAATGGTCTTTAAGATGGTTATGTCAGTTCAAAACCCCATGTAATAGGTATCGCCACAGTGTGCCACACACGTGAAACATTGCACCGATGCACTCCAGCGAGATGTTTCACTGTCGTTACCCTGCCGCAACCACTTACAGGGCAGATGGACCATCCACGTAAAAAGGAGGGACAGAATCGTGAGACAGCCGTTCGAGGGTGGAGGAGTACGTGCTGCCCCCGCTTCGAAGTCACCATCACCGGTCCCAAATACATCACCCGTGGAGCCAACACCGTTATACTCTTAAAGTCTGCGCCACGTGAGTTCCTGGCTGCACCATAACGTGCAAGCAAAGGGCCGTTGCTACTGTTTGCCGCCCGAATCTTGCCACCCATATTTAGTGATGGTGCTGCTGTATGATCGTAGCAGGAGATGGTTTGTTGGCATGGTTGTGGGTAACCTAGTCACGCAGTCTTTTTAAAAGCGTGTCTAATATGTTTTCAACAAACAAAACAAAACAAACAACAAAAACCGACAGTGGTGGCCTACAGGAACACCGAAGCTGAATGCAGGCAGATGCCGAGTGAAAGAAAATAACCAAATGTATATACACAAATATTTATGTTCAATCACAACTCATGGTGTGAAATTCAGTCACGCCTTAATTGCAATTTGAATCATGAATATGACACATATTTGCGTTACTCAATAATCAAATAAAGCAACAGAAACAAACGTTTCAAAAGTGAAAGAGACAAGAAACCAAATTACCTAGATGATGACATGACAGGCATATCAAACGGCATCAGCGTTTGCAATCTGTTAAACCAGTCGAAACAAGAGATGAGGTGCCAGCCTGTGAGGCAGCCTAATGTTTTGCAATCTGCGGTTGTAAGTCAGATCATTTAATAACACTTTCCAAGATTGGGGATGTTACATGCTACTATACATGCAGGGGTGGGTTTCTTCTGCGAGGCATATTAGACATTGTTCAGCATGCGCCCGGATGGATGGTCAGTTTGAAACCCCGATGGTTTGGCAAAATTAATTTCGAACATGGCAGGGAGGCCTACCTAGCTTTGCATAGCTTTGGTAAATTGAATAACACAACAGATCTTTCGGCATGCCAAATAAACGTACCTTGTAAAGGCACTGACATAAGGTAGGTCAAGGTCTGGCCGTGGATATCAGCAAAGGCAAATTCCAGGAACTCGTTCAATCTGAGCCGTACAAAGGTGTTTATCGAAACCAAAGTCTCTTAGATAGCTTCTTAGGCAGTAAAACAGTTTAATGCAGAATTACATTAGAAGTTCATTGACGTAGGGTCAGGTATGAAGGTCGGGCCAAAGTTATAATCATCACGCTTTTTTACTAAGGGGCGTGCCTTATGGCGTGGAGTTCAGACCACGGAGAGCCATCAATGCAAAAGGTTCGCATAAAATCGTAATGAAGACACTTAATGCATGTGTAGTTGCCCAGCCAATCAGAGCTTTGAAGCCTTTGCTTATGTGGCTAGCGTCCGCCCCCGCAGACATGCTCGTGCCATTTTAGAATAAAGTATTATTTTAGTCCCACGTACCACTAAAGTGATACCGATAAGTGCATTCCCTTTGCCAGTGTTTATTAACAATGACTCAGCCCATGCATCTGTGCCTG